ACCATTCAAAGCTGTGAGTGTGCAATGCAGGGTGAAAATCGGTCGAGGAAACGGCAACGGCTCGTCGAGGATTTTCGCCTGTCAGTCACGCTCTCCCGCGCGGATGCTCACTCTCACCACGCGAGCCGTCTGTGCTCTCCGCGCGTACATTCACTCTCGGCACTACTCTCGCACAGTAGAGAGCCATGGTCGAGGAATTCCTCGACCGTTATTCACCCTGGTGCAACGTCAGACCTGCACGAGTATGCGTGGGATGTACGCACAGCGAAGGAGACGATGGCACTCTGTAGCAGTCTAAACTTTGCGTCTGTCGCGATAACGCACGTTCTGTCTCTCCGGGCAGGTGTATAAAAGAGCTCTGCCAGTCAGTCGTCGTCAGTGTCGGTCGTCAGTCGTCAGTCAGCAGCTCTACGGTCTTCCTAGCCGTCCTCGCAGCAGCCCGCCATCTTCTGTCAAGCCATAGCTCCAAGCGCCCCGATGGCCCCGGACTGGACAACTAGGAACGGTAATAGGAACGTACGATGTTCCCCTACGTGCATTATCGATTGATTGTAAATGTGTTAGAGGTAAAAGGTTTAGATTATACGAGTTACATGACACGACACATATGTGCACACATTCATAAGCTAGGATTCATCCAAATCCTAGACAGCGTCCATATGCTCTGCGCGTTATACACGCTGCTTTTCACAGTGCAATTCTAAAATTGACGTAGCATAGATCCAAGAGCATCTTCAAAACAGGAACCGCAGATGAGTTCGTGTGGAAGAATCCACACAGTGCTTGATATCACAGATGCGCCGTTGTCGCTGCTGGAAAGTAGGACCTTACACAGTGATCTAATGACGTCTATGTAAACTTACGGACGAGATCTCGCGCACACCTCATGGTATGCAACGTGGATTTTCGTTCAAATCCGCACGAGTTAGTGGAGCCACGGAGCAGACAAGCTCAGAAAACTCGTCCAGCTCCGCCCCTTACTCGTCTCAAGGAGGAAGGAGGAATCACTTGCTAGGTTCGCAGTTAATGTGCGCAATCCAGTTAAGTCATTCTGCAAGCCCAGCATAGGCTTCCTGTTAGAACATCTTCAGTAATTTTCGTCAGATCCATGCCGATATTGGGCAGCACTTCTTCTTTCACTCGACTCAGAGGAAAATCCCAGAAGCCGTTTACTTGTAGTTAGTTGAGGTTGTCATGGGACGAGACTAGTCGGCCAGAGTTTGTAAGAAAGTTTGGAGTTTATAAGAAAGGGAGTTTTTATCTGAAGGCTGCCTTTCAGGAGGGGCATCCATATAGTCAATAGATTCCGGTAAAGCTAGAACTTTGATAATAGTACCTTCGTAG